AATCAACTGAAGCTTAGTTTCTGTACCATCATCGTTCTCAAAGGTTCTATAAAGAAGATCATCTTTTAACACTAGGCAATTCCATTGGCTCCAGTAACACTTGACTTCAGGACTACATGCACTAATGTCTTGCCAAGAGGGTCTTTCACTTCGACGCATCCAATCCAATACTCTTTTTATACATGGATTATCTGCTTGAGCGTCTTGTAGCTGTTGAGGCTGCCATTGATCATTAATGACGGTGGTTCGTCTCACGGGGCAAAGTCTTTCTTCTAATTTAAGACAGTGATTACAATGTTCACTGCACGGCCTTCTCGAAAGCGCATCAGCATTTAAATGAACTCTTCCAGCCCTGTGTTCGATCTCGTAATCATATTCTTGTAATCGTTCTAACCATCTTGCCATCTGGCCCTCTGGATTACGGAATTGTAGGAGCCATTTTAGAGCAGCGTGATCCGTGCGAAGAAGAAACTTTCTGCCGTATAAGTATTTATGGAAATGCTCGCAAGCCTTTACTACGCCTAGCAATTCTCTCTTGGTAACGCAATAGTTTCTTTCTGGTTTCGACAAGACTTTGCTAAAGTAAGCGATGACTTTCTCCTGCCCATCTTGGATTTGGGAGAGAACAGCTCCGATTGCACTGTTGCTTGCATCGGTGTCCAACACAAATTTCCCTGCCTGTCTAGGGTAGCTTAAAATCGGTGCGCTGATCAGAGCCATTTGTAAGTGTTCGAAAGCTTTTTGGCACTCTTCGCTCCATGTATATTCTTTGCCTTCTTCTGTCAACTTTGTTAATGGCTTGGAGATGTTGGCAAATCCTTTGACAAAACGTCGGTAATATGTACAAAGGCCAAGAAAACTTCTAATTTCGTGTTTATCTCTTGGTACTGGCCAATCCTTAATTGCTGCAAGTTTTTCAGGATCAGCTGTTACTCCATTACTTGCTACAATATGTCCCAAGTACTTCACTTCTCTTCGAAACAAGTGACATTTCTTCGGACTCAACTTTAAATTCGCTGCCCGCAATCGTTGAAAGACTTCAGTCAGATTATTGGCATGTTCATCGAAGGATCTTCCAACTACAATTACATCATCCAAATAAACCAGGCATGTTTTCCATGTTAGTCCTCTTAAAACTGCCTCCATTAATCTTTCAAATGTGGCCGGAGCATTACATAAACCAAAGGGCATAACTGTAAACTGCCAAAGCCCTGATCCTATCGAGAATGCGGTTTTCTCACGATCGGCTGGCTCCATGTCTACTTGCCAATATCCACTTTTTAGATCGAGTGTGGAGAACCAACGAGAACCAGAAAGTGTATCCAATGTATCGTCTATTCTCGGCAAAGGATAACTATCTTTTTTAGTTACCGCATTGAGCTGTCGTAGTCAATACAAAAACGTGTTGAACCATCTTTCTTCTTTACTAGCACTACTGGTGATGTCCATGGACTGTTTGATGGTTCAATTACCCCTTGTTTGGTCATATCTTTGATGATGTCTTCGGCTTCATCTCTTTTCGCAAATGGAAGTCGTCTAGGTTGTTGTCTGATTGACTGAGCGTCTCCGGTATTAATTTTATGCTTTACTATGCTTGTTTTGCCATTATAGTTCTTATCAATGGCGAAAACATCTTGAAATTCTATCAGCATAGACTTCACTTTTTTTGTTCGTTCATCATCAAGATCTTGGCACGTTTTAATCATCGTCTCAACAAGCTCCTTTGGATACTTAGATTTCGACGGTTTCTCATTAGTACTCATGGAACAAATCGAAGCCACGGGAACACACTGTCCGATCAAAGTTCTTTTACTTAACTTAATAGCAGTTCCCTTTAAATTCATAACTCTTACAGGAACGACATCTCGAATTCTCACCAAAGCTTTTGCCGTTAGGAACTCGGCATTGTTCACATCTTCGACCATCCTTAAACTTCCCTCTCGGCAGTAACTATCAGGTCTGGCCATCAAAATTTTCTCACTATTACCGGGTATTGTTACGTCACAAGTAGTTATTAAGCTGATAACATCTTCTTTGTCTTCATGAAACGGCAACTCTTCACCACCGATCTCGAGAACTCCATCTTTGACATTCAATACAGCCCCAACTTTCCGTAGCAAATCCATCCCCAATATGAACTCATCGGAGATCTCTGCAATTAATACTCTATGTTTCACTGTGGTCTGGCCAATGGATACTGACATATTAGCCTCGCCATATGTATTAATTATCTCACCAGTTGCTGTTCTAAGCTTTACTGTTGCAGGCGATAATTTAAGATGGTCTCGTACTACTTCTGGCCGTGCAATAGTTCTTGTTGCACCTGTATCTACCAAAAACGATCTACATTTATTGTTAATACGACCCTCGATGTACAAGCTATGAATTCCACCGGAGGACGTAATGTTCACAGTTACTATGGGGGCTGTGTTTCTCGAGGTCGGCAGTTGCCCCTTAGTGTCGACCCGTTCTAGTTTTCGACTGTTGTATCATTTTCTTGCAATTGCGGCGAATGTGACCTACGTCACCACAATTCCAACATCTGGGCTCGCGTCTCTTCGGCATCGTGTTATGAACTATTTTTCTTACCATTTCTTCTAGACGTTCATCGTTTAGTTCGTCGCCTTCTTCGATGGTTCTTACTCGATGGCTCCGTGAAGTTTGACTAGCTGTTTCATGTTCTAACGCAATAGCGAGCGCTTCATCTAAAACTTTCGGTCTTGCTAGTCGTAAAGCTTTCTGTAATTTACTTTCCTTTAACCCATTGACGAAGGTATCTACGGCAATTTCATCCAAAATGTTGTCTGGTACCTCCGGATAAGCCAACCGCACTATACGAGCAACATCTGCTTCAAACTCTTGCAAATTCTCACTTGCTCGCTGAGTTCTACTTCTTAGTTGCGCCTTGTAGACTTGTTGTAGATGGGCATCTCCGTAACGTTTGTCTAGTCGAGTAAACAAGGTCTGGTAACATTTTTCTTGACCCTTATGAATCGATCTTAGGATATCCGCAGCATCACCTCGTAAAGCAGCAGTCAAGGAAACGGCTTTTTCTTGTTCTGTCCAATGATTGGCTGTCGCAATAGCTTCAAATTGTCTAAGGTATATGGACCAAGAGGACTTTCAATCAAATGGTGGCAATTTAAATCTCATATGATGTGTCGTTTCGTCTCTCGGTGATTCTTCTTTCACTACCGGATCTAAGGCTACCGTATTAACAGGTGGTAGCACTTTCGTATTAGTTATCATGGTCTCTAATTGTTTGATCTTCTCTTCTACGTTGTTTACATTTTTCTGCATCTGATCAAATGTTCTTGAGACTTCTTCAAATTTCTCATTGTTTTGATTACATATTTCTTTAATTATTTGAGAAGTCTCGTCGAATCTTCTAGCAACATTTTCAAATTTCTCGTCATTTTGTCTAGCTGCTTCTTTAATAATTTGAGATGTTTCATCGAATCTTTTGGAAACATTCTCATCATTTTTTCTAGAAGATTCTTCAATCATATGCGACACATTTTCAAATTTTCCATCAATTATTTTTGTTTAAAACTGCTTCTTCTGCTGATTGAAACTGGAATGTATCTGGGTCATCTCCATTATTGTTAAGAACATTTTTCAGTCGTTCTTGGAGGATCTTCTTGGACCCGCTGCAGTCTTCATCGCGTTCTTCTAGTTGCTCACGCAACTGTTTCACTGAAAGTTCTACTAACAGCATCTTCGATCAGGCACACACGTACTTTTTAAATGTTCTTTCGTACAACGATCACTACCGAACTACGCGGATGTTCCCGACGAATAATACTTTTCAAAAGTTCAAAAGTCTCTTTTTTTCACTGTTGGATTTATCTTTAAATAAATCAATTGTCCTCACACGGTGACACCAACTGTACCGTTTTTAAATAAAACGAGCGGTTCGAATTTATATAAATATATTTATTTATAACTTTACAGTTCGGTATTCTCTTATCAACTAAACTTAACTCCTAATTCCGTTACATATATATACCAAAGTATTATGTTCGAGAATATTCGGGACTAGTCCCACCTCTAATTCGTTATTCGACGGGTGGAATTTTACAGCGCTTGATATAAAGCCGACACTTCTCGATGCTTCGAGATGCGACCGTTAGGCGGGCCACTTAGATGCTGTTAGCTGCTGAACGCATGTTCGTAACAATATCAATAAATACCGTCACGATCTCATTTTCTATTGACATCCTAACATTAAAAATTCATATGTGCTTAAGCCAAACTGCTGACTGGATTAATTTATATTTTTTATAGACAATTAAATAAATTATAATAAAAACTATTGTTACTGGTTTTGCTTTCCACATAAAGTAACTGTATTTTCATTCATATATGTCCATTAATCAAACCATGACAATAACATATATAGTGACAATATAGGTATTTTTAATAAAAAAATTTTTAATATATTTATAATGGTTTGTTTTGTAGAGTACAATACAATTATTAACAACTGTAATCTCACGACTAGTAAGACAATTAACAATTTTAACTAGTTAATTTATATTTCTTTTTATAGATGTCTTGAAAAAGAATTAAATAAAATTCGAAAGCTTGACAGTAAGTCAAAGAGTTTTCTTTGTCTTGTGGGCCAAATAAACTGACTGCATCCTCAAAAATCACAACTATATATAGGACTACCAATAGTCAGAAATATGTATATATGGTTGCATTCTATCGATATACCTTTTATGGTTTTCTGTTTTGCGAGACATGCCATTACATTATACTTATATACTATATATCTTATAGCGTTAAGAAGCGTTAGGTATAGTAGTATGACTGATACTAGTTGAAAATTAAAAACTGAGAACTATATATGCATGACATAAAAATCTTCAAACGAGAGATACATACAATATCAAAAGGCAAATCGACGATAAAGTAGGAAACAGGTAGAAAAAACTGCTACAGTTTCAGCATAAATATACAGTTTGCTTTGAAAATAAACATTATTGATGACTTACCCTTTTTCTGACAAGGGATCCTCGATCAGCCGACTGCTACTGGTTCCAATGGCCAGGATACAGCTCTGCGGTGGGTTAATAACAGCACAGAATTGGTCGATGCCCATCATGCCCAAGTTGGATATACTGAATGTGCCGCCTTGAAATTCTTGTGGTTGAAGCTTTCCCTCTCTAGCTTTGGCTGCAAGAGCTTTCATAGTTTTGCTAATTTCTATAACGCCTTTTCGTTCTGCTTCGAAGATTATGGGTGTGATCAAGCCTTTATCGGTAGAAACTGCTACGCTGACGTCTACGTTTCTGTATTGTCTGATTGTGGATTCGTTCCATGAGGAGTTGGCTTCTGGAACCTGAAACGTTACGGAATTCAACAAAACGATATTATAAAAAGCAGAAGCAGTTAAGGCTTTTCAGGAGCATAGTGAAATCGGTTCCTCAGGAAGAAATGACCGAGGAGAAACGCTACTAGGATTCCTACTCCACAATAATTTGTTTAACATGAACAGCTTTAACAAATAGATGCATAGGAGATGGACCTGGGAAAGTCCAAACGGTAGAACAAGGAACGAAATCGACTACATCATAAGTGACAAAAAACAAATAATTTAAGATGTAACAGTACTCAACAAGTTCACCACAAGCAGTGACCAGAGAATATTACGAGCGAAAGCTCAAATCAACACAATAAGAGAAATATCAACATAATGTTTAAAAATAAATTTCATGGTATCTGGACCCATTAGATATCAACCAATATCAGGCACATATCAACAATAAACTACTACGGCATGAAACCTCCGAGAGCGAGAACGACCTTAACGACTTGAATACTTGCATCATCAACGCCTTAAAAGAAAATCAACGAGTGCACGGTCCTAAAAGAAAATCAGATAGTAAAATAAGTCCATATACTGAAACGCTGCTAGATCAAAGAAGACAAATGAGAAGCGATAACAATGCAGACAGCCACACTCTAAAAATGAATAAAACTGTTTCGAATGAAATCAGGAGAGATTTAAGGAAATTTAAATCAGGAGAGATTTAAGAAGCGATAAGAATGTGAATGAACACTCTAAGAGAACTAAGGATTAAATCAGGAGAGATTTAAGAAGCGATAAGAATGTGAATGAACACTCTAAGAGAAATGAATAAAACTGTTTCGAAGGCAATCAGGAGATATTTGAGAAAATTTAAAACCGATAATATTAAATGTATTATAAAGGAAAATATCAGCCTAAAAGTTCTACGTAGAAAGCTAAAGAATGGGATTCATAAATTAAGAAACAAGCAAAATGAAATAATATCACGTAGAGACGAGTTAATACAGGTCGTCGAAGAGATTTACGAGGAATTATATGTAAGTAGACGAGAAGATCAAACATGAATACAAACAGCCATTTCAAAGAAGATCATGAATCAAGGTTCCGAACTAATGCCAGAAATAAAGATAGATTAGATTCGACAAGCGTTAAGAAAAATGAAAAATAACAAAGCCCCAGAAGAGGATGAATAATAGAAGCTATCGTAAATGGAGGAGATATGCTATTAAATCAATTACGGAAACTGTTTAATCTATGTTTGCAGCAAAGAGAGGTACCCAAAGAATGGAACTATGCTATAACCATTCTTTTGCATAAAAAAGAGATAGAACGGACCTAGAAAATTATAGACCTATTAGCCTGTTGAACCACATATAAAAGCTCTTCATTAGGATAGTGACACCAAGATTGGAGAAAAAATTAGATTTCTACCAACCGGGAGAGCAGGCAGGATTCCGATCAAATTATAGTACCAATGATCCCCTCCATACAATAAAGACACCCATTGAAAAATCTACAGAATACAACAAACCTCGTGTCCTCACTTTCATAAAGCGTTCGACACGATCGAAATACGACAGCCTTATAGAAGCAATGAATGACAGCAGGATTGACCATAGGTATAGTGAACGTATTTACAAAAATGCCACTATGACCAAAACCCGACCAATAAAAAAAAACGTGGGATAAGGCAAGGAGATACATTGTCACCGAAATTATTCATAACAGCATTAGAGTATACCTTTAAGATGGTCAATTGGGACAACAGAGGAGTAACAATAGACATTGACGACCGCAGACGACATTGTCCTCATCACAGATAATTTAGGAGAAGCCACAGATATGTTAAATGAATTGGACTTTGCATGTTCGAAGATGGGCCTCAGAATGAACTTGACCAAAACTAAGTTTATGGCAAATATGGTCCCCAATAACCATATAACTATTCAACACAGAGTGGTAAAACTGTTGGAGAAATATACGTATTTGGGTCATGAAATAAGAACCAGCATGGATAACCAAACATGCGAAATCCAAAGACGAATTACTTTAATGTGGACAGCCTTTGGAAAACTGCGTGACTTAGGGCCAACATACCAATTAGCATCAAAAGAAAAGCATTTGACCAATGCGTATTGCCGGTTATGAGCTATGGGGCGGAAACGTGGACGTGATAAGTGAAGGCTGGATGATGATGATGACTGAAATCTACACATCTAAAGTTTTTTTATAATCTACAGAACATGATTAGATTTTTCTGTGAAAATTTTGTTAGCGCATAATTTGAATTTTGAATATAGTGGAACCTCGATTATCCGTCTCTCTATCAACCGTCACCTCTGTTAACCGTCAGGGTCCATAGATAAGTTATATTGACTACATAAGTAAAAATTTAGTCATCAATTCATTTTGTTTGATTGAGATAAACCAAACGAAATTCGTTGAAATGTACACGTGCAGTTATGGCACCACCGCATTTTTTTATGTAAATAATTTTTGTACATAGTCAGGGCTCTGGATTAAATTTCAATTTAAATAGGTAATGATAAATAATACCGTACTTTTAGAGATCTAGTTTTAGAATCGCAAGCCGAAAATAAAAACGTACAGCACAATAATTATTAACAGTCAATATCTGTGTATCACCATAATTCAGTTTGATTCAAATTCGAACATTGATTGTGTCACTTAGTCGTTTGATCAATTACATTTTGAAAAATGGAGCCTTCCATATCTAGAGAATCAAAAACAGTCGTTGACGAATATAAAAGAAAGTTTCAAGCTATGATCGATGAATGTGGTTTGACACGCGATCAAGTGTTCAATGCGGATGAAACTGGTTTAAACTACAAAGCATTGCCAACGAAAACACTCGCTGCACTGTCTAAAAAATATGCACCCGGATTTAAAACACAAAAGCAACGAATCACAGCAATGATGTCTTCAAATTCAAGTGGTGACCATGGCCTTCCTTTATTATTGATTGGTACAGCAAAAAAATCATGCTGTTTTAATGTACCGGGTGGTCCAATAAGCCGATCTCTCGGCTATATATCAGAAACTATTCATTTTATAACTTTAAGAGAAAAAAATCCTTAGTAAAAGTGGCCAAGAGAAATCGCTGAAAATAATTTTCAAGATTCTGGATTAACCGCCAGGGGGCGTAACCTGCGAAGAAAATTTTGAAAACCAGTTTTTTGGGAAATATGTCCAAATATACCAAGTGTTAAATAAGTAAACTAGAAAGAGGCATAAATTCTGAACAAAGTTGTTCAAGTACTTGTTTTTTATTTTTTCAAATAAAGGGTGGGGGAAAGTGGGAAAGTATTTGTCGATAAATACCTATAACTTTGGTTTGGATCAACCGATTTTAACAAAATTAGTGTCATTAGAAAGAGTGTGGATGAATTAATTTACATCTACTATAAAATAATTGCATTTAGTTTTAATTGTCGTAGGTAGAAGGTACTTTCGAATAGAAAAAATTAAAATTTGTTTTTCTTTAAAATTTTTAATGGAAACACCTATTTATTGTAAATTATAATGGAACTGGATTAAATTCGTAACAAAATGGCGCAAACCGCATGTTAATAGCTTTTATCGAACTCGAAAAAGAATCTTAATGTTGATACCTATTTTGACCATTTGGATAAATTTCAGTAAGAAATGTATCCAAGCGTTGCTACGCCACTGGCATTAAATAGCTAATAATTCTTAAAATCTACCTACCGACTTATTCCCTGTTAGAAAGCGAGAACCGGTTCCCCTCAAACCCCTCAGTGGTAGTTTGGCATGGCAATCGATTAGTATTGTTGTAATATTCAAAGTGTCACGTTGTATACCAGCCAAGCTGGACGCTTTACTTATAAATTTAGTTTAAGACCCAATGGGTCGATTCTTTGTTAGTTTGAGTTCTGTATAACTCCGCTTGGTAATAATTATAACATATTACTTGGTTAGCACCGCAGAAATATCCTTGGTTCAAAAGAATAAGTAATATTAGTATAATTTAAATTGTATCAGTGTTCGTGTAGTGTTTGTCGGACTTGTGTGGCTTGAACAGTGACGGGCGGTTTACATAAAAGAACTTTACATGACAAACCCTTGGCTAGATATCAACTTAGTGTAGTAAAAAATCAATCATTAAATTAAGTATTGTTAACGCTTGTGGTTTTATTTCCCATGTAAAGTGGGTGGTCCTTCAACGTTGGAAATCATTACGATTTAAGATGCTCTAAATGGTAAGAAGATCTACTTCCTAATTGGTTTCATTTTTGTTAGTCGTCTGCGAGTGGATGAGGAACCATTTAAACCATAGTATCTGCTATTATCTTCTACCACCATTGTTATTTCATATAATTAAAAATTGTTTTTTCGAAACTAAGTAGGCTACGACAATGAATTTGACAGGGAGTTCATATTGTTTATTTATTGACAGCTGTCAAAATATTGTTAAGAAGTGTTATATGTATTAAAATTCGAATTGAAAATTGCATTTTTTTCAATAGATATTAATATTGGTAAAATTAGTAATTAATTATCAGTACTAATAATTCGTGATGAGTATATCAAATTGTATGATAGGATTGGAGTTTATTTCGAATATCACCAAAATGGCGCTATTGCCTCACGTATATATTCTGTAAGATATCCTGACAGGACACATTGTGGCAAAGAAGTAGAGATTTCCGACTACTTATATGTGGATTCTGTTGAATTAAAGCAAGAACATTGATTGAATTATCTTCGGTCATAACTCTACTACGTCGTTTAAAACAAGGACGAGAAAAACTACCAATTTCTCTTAATATTTTTGCCTTTCTTTCAAATACTTCTTTGCCATAATGTCTCCTGTCAGGATATCTTACAAAATATATACGTGAGGCAATAGCGGCATTTTGGTGACATTCGAAATAAACTCCAATCATATCCTACAATTTGATGTACTCATCACGAATTATTCGTACTGATAATTAATTACAAATATTACCAATATTAATATCTATTGAAAACAGTGCAATCTTTAATTC